AGATTTTACTAGTTACCTAGCACATTTAGATACAGCCTTAAGAAAAACACATACTGGCAACAGGCCTTTGGGGGAGAGGATGATAGACGGCCTTAAAGCTGAGCAGCTGGGGACGCTGGCTTGCTCAGGTTCATTTTTCCGTTATCTCCCCTTTCTCCTCCCAAAAAGCGCCTGTGGCTAATTGGATAAGTCCTTTGAATGTGCTTGTTTAACTATAAACTTTGCCCTCTGTTCTTGTTTATCTACAAGGCATTTGACTAATGTTTGATCTTCTGTTGGTCATTGTTTCTAGCGAATAAAAGCGAGACTGAGGAGTTACTCTGGGCAACAGTCTTTTTGACTGTTGTCCCCTGCTCCCATTCTCTTTTTTTTTTTTTTTTTAAGATTTTATTTATTTGACAAAAAGATCACAAATAGGCAGAGAGGCAGGCAGGGTCAGGGGAAGCAGGCTCCCTGCTGAGCAGATCAAGCACAGGGCTTGATCCCAGGACCCTGAAATCATGACCGACCGGAGCTACAGGCAGAGGCTTAAACCGCTGAGCCACCCAGGTGCCCCCATGATCCCATCCTCTTGCAGCTGACTTGTTTGTGCCTCATTCTTCTTCCGTTCGCCGACTGGAAGCAGCACACAATACATGATGGCTATGTGGATTTTACTCCAGGACTGCAGGATTGTTTTAAAATTTGAGAATTAATTAATGCAATTTATCACATTAAGTTAAAGAAGGAGACAAAAAAATATGACCATCTGGGTAGAATCATAAAATATCATCTGACAGGATTCAAATCCTATACCTAATTTTTCTATATCTAGATTTTTAAAATTCTATTAAAAGGGAATTTTCTTGGGGCACCTGGGTGACTCAGTGGGCTAAGGCCTCTGGCTTCAGCTCGGGTCATGATCCTGGGGTCCTGGGATGAGCTCCACATCAGGCTCTCTGCTCAGCAGGGAGCCTGCTTCCTCCTCTCTCTCTGCCTGCCTCTCTGTCTGTCATATACATAAATAAAATCTTAAAAAAAAAGGGCGGGGGGAATTTTCTTGATCTAAGAAAGAATAGCTACCTACTACACACATCAGACTTATTTTACCACCCCCAACTTCCCACCTTTGGTGACCACCCTCTCTTCTCTGTATTGGTGAGATTGGCTTTTTCTATTTTGGGGTTTTTTTTTTAATCTTTTAGTTTAACATATAGATGAGATCACTCTAATTTGCCTTTCTCTATGCGACATATTTCACTTCCTATAATGTTTTCAGGGTCCATTCATGTTGTCACAAATGGCAAAACTTCATTCTTTCTTATGGCTGAATAATATTTGTTGATGTATGTATACTATATTTGTTTCTATTCATCCCTTGATGGACACAAGTTATTTCCATATCTTCACTATTATAAATAATGTTGCAATAAATAGGGGAATGCAAGTATATTTTCAAGTAGTGATTTAATTTGCTTTGGTTAAGTACCCAGAAGTGGAATTGCTGGGTCATAGGTCTTTTTAAAATATTTATGAGAAAATTCCACACTGTTTTCCATAGTGGCTCCAGTAACTTACATTCACACCAACAGTGCACAAGGTTTCATTTTCTCCACATCCATGCCAATGACCCCTGTTATTTCTGTTCTTTTTGAAGAACAAGTGTGAAGTGATATCTCTTGTGGATTTGATTTGTTTTTCCTGATGATTAATGACGTTGAGCATCTCTGCTTGTGCCTGTTGACCATCTGTTGTCTTCTTTGGGAAAGCGTCTATTCAGACACTTTGCCCAATTTTTAATTAGATTGGGTTTTTGTTTTGTTGTTGTTGTTTGGTTTTGTTCTGTTGCTATTAAGTTGAATAAGTTCGTTCTTTATGTATTTTGGATATTAACCCTTCACCAGATATATGATTTGTAAATATTTTCTCCCATTTCATAGGTTGCCTTTTCATTTTATTGATAGTTTCTTTTTAATGTAATTCAACTTTTCAGTTTTATTTGTAGTCTTTGCCTTTGGTGTCCAATCCAAAATATCACCACCAGGATAGATGTCAGGGAGCTGACGCTTATGTTTTCTTCCAGGAGTTATATGGTTACAGATCTCACATTTAAATCTTTAATCCATTTGGGTTAATTTTTTGTAATGTAAGATAATGATCCATTTTCATTTATTTGAATGTTGCTGTCCAGTTTCCCAGCATCATTTTTTGAAAAGACTGTTCATTCCCCATTGTATATGCTTGAAGTGCTCTATTTTAAACTAAACCTCAACTCTTCAATCTAATTCTGGACTCTGCTGTACTGGCATATTTAATCAATAAGAAATCAATTCCTATAAGATTGCCTATCAAAATTGATATATAACAGGTTTTAGCATTTTATCAAACTGAACACACATTAATTGTCCTTGGAAATTTTCTGAGAAATATATTTTTCCTTATAAAATTAAGTATCAGCATGTTAACTTCTAAGAACAAACAAATAATCCTCTTGCTTAGCTGTTGTCTTTAATTGTAATTGGGTTTATAGCTGCCATGTAGTACTCCACATTAAAAAAAAAGAAAGAAAGAAAAAAAAAACCCTCAGAACCTTGAACTGATGCTGCCCCTCAACAATCTAGCATCTTTCATGGGAAGATAACAAAAAATACTAACACTCTAATAGTACCAGATACTATAGTATCCTCATCTAAAATTGTTCCCCTCTACCCCATCTAACATTTCTTTCTTCCTAAACAAGATTATTTGCTCCCATCTTTCCAGTCCATCAGGTGAAGCAGGCCCAACCCACAAAGGGTGGAGCATGGTTTGTCTGAGAATACCACGGTAATCCCATGGTCCTCCTAATGTGTGGGGAAGTAGATCTACTGGGAATACTTGAAGATGTTTAGTTCCCTCTTATAAAAGCATATGAGGAGAAACAGTTCCTTCTCCTACCTTTGGAAATTGTAAGAGAAAATGAATCCTGAAGCTGCTCCAGGCAGGCAGCCTACTACCATTTCCAGAACACTGACGTGTGGTGTATGATAGAGAAATGAGATACAAAGTCCCACGATCACTGGCGACATCACTGGCCTGATGACTTGACCAGTTCTGGAGATGAGCTACACTGGGTCTGTCTGCCATGTGAGACAAGGAGTTAAAGAAAAATAAAGCAAATTAGATTGGTTTTTCTCCACTAGCAACAGAAAGCATCTCCACTAAAATATTCCTGCCATGCATTTTAATCCTACATTATAACGTCAGATCACAGATCTAAGATAAATAAGACAACTCATGTCTTCGTCTTAGAGAACACAACAAAAGTAACATTGCAACCCTGGGATCAAACAGGATTTGATAAGATCATATAAATGTTGAGTACATGACTGTTACCTTATTAAACTCCCACAGGATGATAAACTGCTTCACATCAATAATGCATGATAGAAATATACATAAAATAAACTTTGAATTGTCTTGATAATTACAATTGTCTCTAATAGTGGAGAAATCGTGTTGAAATCACTATAACCATGAACTTCTGAATCTACTGCCTGCTTTTTAGATTTGATTTACATTTCAAAGTGACTCTTCAGACAGAATATGATAGCAGAACTCATCATCTCCTTAACCAATTTAGGGGCATTTGTCTGAAACCTTTCCAAGTCTTATATCATTGAAGTCTAAGGAATTTAGAGCTATATATTCACAATTACAGTTACACAGTGTTCTAAGGACCAAAAATATTTGATTTAATTTCCTGTTTGTTTCCCACCATATACTTTTTGTCACGTTTGTTTCATCAATACAGTTTTGTTTTTATATATATTGTCTTTTTAAACCTTTTATTTAAAGTTTTTATGACAAAATATTTGAAGTGTCCTCATATTAAAACTATTAAATAAGATATATTCAGAATAGTTCAGCTTTCATCTCTGTTTCCTTCAACCTATTCATACATTTTGACTGAGAGGCAACAATTTTTTTTAAAAAATCCTTCCATTGTAGTATGTAGATTAGACAGATGATAGAGAGATAATGATAGATGGGTGAAATAGACAAAATGAGTTGATCTAGGTATATATTCCTATTCTCTTCTTCTATCTTATTAAACAAAATGTTGTGTGCTTTACAAACTTTCCTGTACCCATACAAATGCCTTTTAGAGATTATTCTATAGCAGTGTGGTATTTTTCCTTTCAGCTGCATAACATTTCATTGTTTGTATGGACATCTGAATATTCATAATTTCCCCTTTGTTTCCCAGCACTGCTTCTGATCTGCTAAAATATTATCCATCCAGGATATTCCTGTAGACAGTAAGAATACACACAGTCTGGAAGGTCTCAGAATTGTATCTTTCCCCTAGAGTTGTGGCTTTGTCCTGATGGTCTGAGACTTAGTTATGGGGAAGACTGCATCCCAAGCCAAAGTGTTAGCATGCAACTAAGTTTATCTGAGAGACAGAAAAAGATGGAAGGGTAGACAGAGCTCACCATCAGTATAATGAAAGGGGTTTACTCAGGTTAGGATACTTTCTATAAATAATCAGGGAAAGGCGTACCTGGCTGGCTCAGTCAGTGGAACATTCAACTTGTGATCTCAAGGTTATGAGTTCATGTTCCATGCTGGGCATGGAACCTATTTTAAAAATAAAATGAAATAAAAATATAAAAAATAAAAAATCAGGGACAAAATAACAAAAGAATGTTATTATAAAAAGTCTAAGGGCATCACCTCTGTAAAAATTATTTGCATTACATTGCAGGAATATTTTTCTGTCCCCTTTCCTTATCCCATGGTGCAAAAGGACTGGTGTGTTTGTGTTTCAGAACATAGACATGTAGGACAACATCATCCTATGGGTCATTAAGGGCTTCCTCCAAACTCCAGAAAATATGTCTAATTACAGAACGTGTAAAGCCCAAGAATAAACGGGAATGAAACAAGGATACCTTCAAGATCCCCACATCTGAGCAAAATTCTGGGATATAAATAAAAACCATTATTTTATTGTGGTGGAATCCTCCCTTTGTCTCTTTTTTTATACCTCTTTTCTTTGAAACTACGTGAAGCAGATTATTTTAACCCCATGTTTATTTGAGAAAAGCTTATGAAGATACATGAGAAGAAGTTCAGTTCCTCATGCAAGGGAGGCAGGAAAGGCGACACAGAAGGGGACCGGAGAGAATGCAGAGGAGGTACTGAAGTCACACTGGGGCTTCCAGGTCAAGGAAGGGGCAGACAGAGCCACAGGGAGGACAGGTGCTGCAAGTCACTGAAGCCGGGCCAACCAGATCTGAGAAAGCACTGTAATTGTGGAGGAATGAGAGCTGGAAGCCTTTCATTCTGAGAAGAGGCTGGGAAGGAAGGTTCTTCCTGGAGTGTCACCATCTCCATGTCAGCTCAGGAGACCTGCAGAGACAGAGCAGAGTGTTGTTTCCAGACCCACCTCTCCAAGCAGCTTCTTCTCCCTTTCCCAGGGCCTCGAGTTAAAGCCCTGCAGTAAGAAGAGCATATTCTTAGGTCTCCTTGATCTGAAGCTATTTCACAGCACAGACCTTTTACTAAATGGAGAGAGGAAGCTTCAGCGTAAACTGCCCGATCAGAAGTCAGATCCAAAGTCTTTCCCATTTTTTCTGTCTTTCACCATTACCACTTGTTCTGGAATAACCAAATCTATCACTAAAGAGGATGACAGAGCATTACCTGTTGGCTGAAGTCTAGAGTGTCCTGGGAAAGAGAAGGGAAGACATATACTAAACAGATAAGGAGGTAAATCTGTCCCCACACACAAGGTCCCAGCCCCAGACCCGCCTCCTTAGATTTCTCTAACATCACAACCCACATGACATGATGCCAGAGTGGAGAAAAAAGTGAAAGATGTGACCCATGAAGCTTCCGTCACACAAATACAATGGGATTTCACTAGCTTTAGTGCCTCTTCCTGCATTTGGCCCAGGATCCCAAATCAAGATTCCCATGCTTGTTAAGCTCTCTCTTATCTCTACAGGCCATAACCTCTTATACTAAAACCCAGTAACCATGGGCTGTTGCTTTCTAGATTTCTAAGAAATCTGAAGTCGAATTGGGAAAGAAAGGCTTCATGCAGGGCCACTGGTACACAGAGACCTTATTTGATGAAAGCTGTATTTCTCCCCCACAGGGTCTCTGTAGAGACTCGCTAACAGGTACCTTACCCTTCTGATTCCTGAAGTAGGTGAAGAGCCCCACCACGAGAAAGAGCAGACCCAGAACAAAGCCTCCAGTTCCACTCAGAATCTTGCTCTGTGCAGACCCAGACTGTGCTCCTGAGAGAAGAAACAGTTTTAGTGATTTTTATCCCAACTCTAACATCTCCGATAGAGACTCTGAGATTGAGAACTCTGAGAATGAGGAAGGCAGACTGCCTTGAAGAAATCGAATAATTTTCAATTTCTGGAAAAGAAATTTAAAAATCATATTGCAGAAATGCAATGTTTAGTCACTGAACTTTTTAAATATCACAGCTCTGACAAATCCACTACTTCAGCATCAACGGATGAGAAGCCTGGATGGAGTCCATGGAGCTCAACAGATTGTGCAGAGCGACACAGCTAATGAAAGGCAGAGTCAAGATTGGATTCCCCTCAAGTTAGGGAGGTCCCTACATTATGGAGGATGTGCCTCTTCTGAGACCACAATCAACAACTCAGAGCAACATTGCTTGAAGCACAAGCCCAGCCCGAACCAGGGGACTGGTGCCCAGTGTGAAGAGGGAACCATGACCTGTGAGCCATGGTAAATGTCAAAACATGGACAACCTCTGTTCTGCCAGCCAGGCATAACTGCCTCACCAGGAAATACAAGATCTGTACAAATGATCACAGGATATCTAGAAATTATCAGAGGATTTCTACCACAGGATATCACTCAGCAACCCCCAGTGATCTGTGCTGAAGAGAAGAGATCATGGAGTAAATGAAAACATGGTGTAAGGAGAGAGAACCCTGACAGGAAAAGCAAAGTCTCCTCCTTAGTGGGTGAGGAACTTGTGAGGTCAGAAAGCTTCTTCTCATTCCATTCCACGGTGACAGGGGTCGTCAAACTGGGGTGCTCCACTTGGCAGGTGTAGACCTCTGCACTCTGAGGAACTATCTCCAGCATCACCAGGGTCTGGAAGGTCCAGTCTCCATTACGGATAGGCCTGTGGACACGACCCCAGACTCTTCTTCCTGGCCATTCCGGAACCACCTGACTTCAATATGGCCTGGATAGAAACCATTCACAGAGCAGACCAGGAGGTTGTGGTGCGGCAGGGGCTGGTTCTTTGCAGGATACACAGTCACTATAGGCTCCACTAGAAGAGAAGAGGTAGAGGGACTCAGTGAGGAAGACAGACTCAGTCTCCCTGGTTGGCTGCCAGGCTGCCTCCAGTCTCTGGTCCTGGGCTAAGTCTCAAGCAGGCTCTCCCAAAGCTGGCCATGTGGCCCAATGAGTATCAGTATCATGAGTCTTGAATTTAATACTGACAGCATGGGTCATTAGTCTTGAGAGATGTTTGAGAAATTTGTGGGTTTTATTTTTTATAGTGTGAAACAGTTTCTTGTTGAATTGGAATATTTACAAATTTTACAAGGCATAGGTTGTTTTAATTAAAAGCATGATTTCTGGAGCAGGCTGACTGGGCTCAAATCCAGATTCTGCTATTTTACTGATTCATCCTGGGCGAATATTTGCATTCCTCTGTGCCCCAGCTCTCTAACCTTTTGAGGGTGATAGTAATACTAACTTAGTTCTTAGGGTTGTATGAAGATTAATGCACTGAAGTATGTAAAATGGTAACTGATATTTACCCATCAGTATATGTTAGCTACTTATTACCCTTGGTTTGTTGGAGAGAAAAATATGACTTAAAGTGTGAATAAATTGGAGGACAGCTTGAGGTAGATGGGGAAAGAGTATGAATTCCTGCAACTGCTACAGTCACACTTAGGACACCACAGAAATGGTTATATCCTGGGAAGCAGTAAAGACAGAGGTGATTCTCTAGCCCTAGGAGCTGAGTCCCAAGAACAGCATGAGTCCTGAAAGAGAGGAAAAAGAGCAAGGAAACTCATTTATTTAAAAAGGTTCTCATAATTGCACTCTGCTGATCAATACCTCTTTGCAGCACAAAAATATCTATTATTGTAATTGTTATCATTCTATAATTGTCCCCCTTTTAAAGCTGACATTTGAGTTTATGGCAGGGTCTGAGACTCACTAATTGTTATTCTTAGTCCCTGAGACAATGCCTGACACTACCAGTCTCAATCAATACAATTTCTGTTTTTGTAAAAAGAGAAACACGGGAAAACCTTTTCAAAATACCATAAAATCGTAGATTTAAGATTGATAAGAAACCACTGCTAACAATTTTGTAATATATTTCATTAAATAAAAATATTTACATTCTTGGTAGGAAAAGTACTAATTAGAATCAAAATATAAACCACAAACTAGGGGAAATGCTAAATAAAATGTCAGCAAAGCATTAATAATATTACGTATAGAACATGCATAAAACCACTGAGAAAAACACTAAAACATAATAGACAGTAGATAATTTTTACAATGGTAACAATGATTAGCCAAATAATATGTGAAAAAAATGTTCAAGAAACTTAGAAATTAAAGGAATAGAAATTAAAAATTAACAAAACTAAATTTCAACTGTGTATTTGGCAATGTTGAAAAAAAAAGGTCTAAGAAAAGGGAATGTGAGATGAATTGTTACAGCAACATAAAGAAATCATATTCAACTCCATAAATACTTTCATTATTTTAAAAACAGCCGTACCGATATATTTTGGAAAAAATATAATTAAAACATAGTTTCAAAATCATCTCAAGTATAAAAGAATACATACACAAAGAAACAAAGCAAGGAGCTCCTGGGTGACACATCAGACTCGGTTTTGGCTTAGGTTACGATCTCCTGCAACTGAGATGGAGATCAGCGCCCCCATCCCACCCCAGCCTTCAGGCTCCAGCTCAGCAGGGAGTCCCCTTCAGATTCTCTCTCCATCTCCCTCTGCCCCCTCCCTCCGCTGCTGCCTGTGGTCCCTCTTTCTCTTTCTCACTCTCTGTCTCTCTCTAAAATAAATAAATAAATCTTTTAAAAAATTATTTTTAAAAAATCAAGAATATGAGATCTAAAAGCAGCCTCAGAAAGATCAGAGGGTTCTCAGAGTTCTCCCCAACCCATCAAAAATTAGTCTGACACTTTTTTCTCAGTGAAATGGTCCCACACACAGACAGACACAATTACTTCAGGGGGTTCAGGATTAAGAAGAGTGAGTGCCAAGAACAGAGGGTGACTGGCCTCCTCACATTCTCCCTAATCTTTTAATCCTCCCCTCCCTTCCTCTAAACTTTCACCCCAACCAGGACACCCTCCACTTCCCTCCCCAAGACTCCAACCACCCGCCTAGTGTTCCCTCCACCTGCAGCTCCTGAGACCCCTCACCTCTCCCTCAGGGGCCACCAAGGATGTCAGATGTCCCCTTCTGTGTCCTCCCCTCACACCCACTCTCCCAACCCATCCCCACATCCAGGCCCACAGCCCAACTCACACTCATTCTCTGCCCCCCTCACTTCAGAGCACACCCCTCACACACTGTCCCCACAGCCACACAGGGACACAACCATACAATCACAACCACACACTCTGCACAGTGACACAAACAGACCACACTGTCCCTGACATGGCACTCTCACAGGGATCCTTCTAACCTGTACTTGCTCAAGACCCTGTAGGCTCACTCCAACGAGTCTGTCTCAGTCTGTCTCTCTTGTCTCTGTCTCTGTCTCTCTCTCTTTCACACACACACACACACACACACACACACACACACACATTCCCCCAATCTCCGCCCCTGCCGCGCTCACCTCGCCGCTGCACCGTGAAGCTCTCACCCACCCCGTAGTTGTGTCTGCAGTACGTGTCCACTGAGGCTCGCTTCTGCTCCAGGTAGTCCTTCTGGCTGTTGCAGTACGGAGCGTCGGGCCGCCCCAGCTGGGTCACCAACCGGAACTCCCCCACGTCGCTGTCGAAGCGCACGTACTTCTCGCAGTTATAGAACAGTCTCTCCAGGAACCGCACCCGCTCCGTCCCGTTGGTGAAGTAGCACTCAGACGTCACCAGGAGCAAGAAATGTGCTGTGGGGACAGAGACGATCCGGTCACCCGCGGGCTCCTGGAAGACACTGACGGCGGCGCCCCTCGCTGGCTCCCCCCGCGCCCCCAAACCACCAGCACACATCGCCCGTCTTCCCTCTGCCGGCGGAGGCGGCCACTGGGTCCCGGCCTCGGCGGCGGACCCCCAGCTTGAACAGCGAGGACACTTGCCCCTCACCGCCTCCTCCTAGACGCCTGTGGCTGACAGACACCGGCCTCGCTCCTCGCCTCCCACAGCCCTTTTCCCCGCCTTAAACACGTCCCACCTGCTTCCCCGCCCCCTGAACACTCGATTTAGCCTGAGCTAGTTCAGGCCCCTGCTGCCCCTGCGAATCCAGGGAAGGAAACAGAAGCGTCCCCTCCACTCCTGGAGCTGAAAATGCAGGGAAAGTGATGCACAAAACCCAATCGGGCCAGACTTTGTACAAGAGAAGTGTGAGTTCTAGAGCAGAGAATAATTGAATGATCTCAGTTACCTTGGAGTGCCAAAGAGGTGGTCTCAAGGGTGACATTCCAGATGTGATATGAAGGATTAAGTAGATGTGAGCTAGAGGGTGTGTGTGTGTGTGTGTTTGGGGAAAAGGTGGCACATTCCAGGTCAAGGTCATGTAACTGTGCAAAAGCTTGAAAGAATTGAGAAACTTCCTTAAAAAAAAAAAAAAAAAAAACAGAGAAAACAGTTCACTGAAGCAGACAGTGAGAGGAAGAAGGACCTTTAGAGACATCACATGCAGTGGATACTAAAAGCCTGTATGGGGTGGTAGCATTTAACTTGTATACTGAATTCAAAGGCATATGAGTGAGGAATTTTAAGGAGATTAAAACCCTGCTTGTAATACAGTTCCTCCATCTTTACCTACATTTCCAAATTCAGAAGTCTCAGAAAACCAGATTGCATTAAAGATTTTGATGCAGAACCCGTTTGGCAAATCTAGTCTGATGAGGTAAAGGGTCAAACATATCAGAGCTCTAATTGGTCAGTCGGTCACATGTGCTCCTAAAGTTTCAATATATGTAAACATACACGCATCATAATATATGTATGCAAATATATGCATATACATACACACATATATGCATAGATGTATGTATATATTGTTTCATGTTTAATCGAACTAAGAAAAAAAATTTTTTTAAGATTTTATTTTATTTGACAGAGATCACAAGTAGGCAGAGAGGCAGGCAGAGAGAGAGGGGGAAGCAGTTCCCCGCTGAACAGAGATCCCAATGTGGGGCTCGATCCCAGGACTCTGGGATGATGACCTGAGCCAAAGGCAGAGGCTTTAACCCACTGAGCCACCCAGGCACCCCAAGAAACGTTTTTTATTCAAGTCTGATTAACATGAAAAATTTGGAGAAAAATACCTCTGTGCTTAAAAGGGAGACAAAAAAAAGGGGAGGAGCATTTGACTTTATCAATATAATAGAATGTAGAATTACTACAACATTTTGATATATTTTACTGAAAAATACTTGTGGCAGTCACAATTTATGCCTTCTAAAGGAAAGTTGTTGAATGTTAACAGAGATGGTGGTAGTCCAGAAATCACAGAATATTGAAAAACATTGTATAAGGCAAAAAGTAAAAATAAAAATCTTGGCTTGCATTGATTCAATGGGCTCTACAAGAAATTGGTGAAGGTATACAACTTTATACTTTATTATTTCCTTATTTAAACAAATTAAAATAAACCACAAAGACCTGAATTGGAAGGTGAGTGTGTGTATGAAGTGTGAGTCTACAGTTTTGAGAAGCAGCACAGTATAAATCAGTATTTTCAACCTCAGCACTGTTAACATTTTGGGGTTCTGTTCATTTGTGTGAAATGATGCCCCATATATTTTCCAACTACAATGGTACAAAACTAAAAATCAACAGTAAAACAAGCTGGAAAATCTACAATGTAAATGTTAAATATTTATATGTAAATATTAAACAACACACTACTGCACAAGCAACTGGCCAAATAGAAAATCAAATGGCAAATCAAATATGTCTCAAAACAAAAGAAAAAGAAAACACAAGTGAAATGTATGTTGTAAACTCTTATATTAAGAGAAAAAGTTCAGCTCTCTCCAACAAGATGCTAAAAGGAAAGGAGGCTGAGGGGTGGCTCTGGACCCTGGTGAAGAAGGAGGAAGCCAAGAAGGTGGTCAATCCCTTGTCTGAGAAAAGACCCAAGAATTTTGGCAACGGACAGGAAGGATATCCAGCCCAAAAGGGACCTCACCCACTTTGTCAAATGCCCCCACTACTCCTGCTGCAGCAGCAAAGGGTTATTCTATATAAACGTCTAGAAGTACCTCTCACGATTAGCCAGTCCCTAAGCCTTTGACAACCACACAGCTACTCAACGGCTTAAGCTGGCCCACAGGTTCAGACCAGAGGCAAAGCAAGAGAAGGAGAGATTGCTGGCTCAGCTGAGACGAAAGCTGCTAGTAAAGGGATGTCCCCCTAAGAGGCCAAATGTCCTTTGAGCTAGGTTCATCCTGTCACCACCTTGGTGGGAAACAAGAAGGCTCAGCTGGTAGTGATTTCATGTGACGTGGATCCCATTGAGCTGGATGTCTTCCTGCCTGCCCTGTATCCTAACTTGGGTATTTCCCCCACATTATCAAGGGGAAGGCCAGGCTGGAGTGTTTCGTCCACAGGAAGATCTGCACCATAATCACCTTCATACAAGTTAATTCAGAACACAAATGAGCTCTTCTTAAACCATTGGAGGCTATCAAGAGAAATTACAATGACAGTGAGATCCACTGTCTCTGAGATAGTGTCCTGGGTCTGAAGTCGGTGGTTCACATTGCCAAGTTGGAAAAGGCAAAGCCTAAAGAACTGACCACCAAACTGGCCTAAGTGTGCACTATTGAATTTTCTGTACATAAAAACAATAAAAAGTTCTCTTTCAGCCAGTGTCAAGGGGAAAAAAAAAAAAAAGGAAAAAAAGTTCAAAAAACACATGACAGCTGAGGGAACTAGAAAAAGAAACTTGGAGGAAATTCAGTAGAGGAAGGAAATAACAAAGAAAAATCAGAAATAAAATAGAGACCAGAAGACACAATCACATAACATTGAAAGTAATGACCCAGTTTTCAATCAATAAATAATTAACTGAAATTGACAATTCTTTAACAACATTAAGGAAAAAAAAAAAAACAAAAGACAGAAGACTCAAAACCCAAAATGAGAAATGGGGAAGAGAAAACAATACAATTGATAACCACAGCTGTTGACATTTTGGACAAGATAATTGTTGTGGCAAGGCTGTTCTGTGCATTTTAGGATGTCTATCAGCATCTCTAGCCTTTATCCACTAGATGTCAGATGAAACCCCAGTTTTGAAAACCAGAAAATGGCTCCAGACATTGCTCTATACCCCAGGGGAGGGGGTGCTGGTAAAAATGTCCCTGGGTAGGGGTGCCTGGGTGGCTCAGTGGGTTAAAGCCTCTGCCTTCTGCTCAGGTCATGATCCCACGGTCCTGGGATGGAGCCCCGAATCAGGCTCTCTGCTCAGCAGGGAGCCTGCTTCCACCTCTCTCTCTCTCCCTGCCTCTCTGCCTACTTGTGATCTCTCTCTCTGTCAAATAAATAAATAAAATCTTAAAAAAAAAGAACATATGTCCCTGGGTAAGAACCACTGTTAAGGTATCTGAAATATATGTGATGAAAAAGCTTCTGTTGTTTATGAGAAAGCTGAGTATTGCATTGGAAAATTTGCCAATATCATATCTGATGAAAAAACCTTATCCGGAGGAAATGAATTTTGCTGGAAAATAGCTCAGTACTGGCACCAGATTCCTAAAAAACATTCATAGTGCCTAATAAGAGAGTATCAAAAGATTCTAAGAATTCTAACCAAAAGATGACTGTTCTTGGCTGTGTTGAGGCTTCAGGCTCACCCAAAACAAAGTGAACGGTGACTGGAAAGACTAAAATCCAGGATGTCTGAAAGATGTAATGATTTTCCCTGTCCATTATTTTTCAAACCAAAAAATTTGCATAACCAGATATGTATTTCCTAACTGACTCAATCACCACTTTGGATCAGTGACATGTTCCTGACAGCCAAGCTGGACTGTGAGAAGCCTGTAGTGTCACTGTCCCTGGATAATTGTTCCACATGATGCTCCTCTGAGCTTCTTGTAAAAACTAAAGGTTTTGGCTTTGAATTTCCCACAGTGTGACGTCTGTGTTGAAATCTTATGACCGAAGAATTTTTGTCTCATCAAGAGCAGGTATAAATAGTTTTTAAATTCCATCCTTGTTACAGTTTACTGAGAGAAGCCTACAAATCCACAGCTTTCTGAAAGAATCAGTTACTAGTGCCTGTAATGAAGCTAAAAATTAATAAAACAACTTTAACAAGTGTTTGGCACAGACTTTGGGCTATGTTTATGTTTGCATGAACTAGCAGATAAAGATTTTGAAAACTAGTATGTCATTAGTAAAAGAAAATCATATCAAACTTCAATATAAGCTAATGTTAATCAGATAAAAATAGAAATAATATTAAAAAAAAAAAGCACTAACAATGAGGTCATGGTGGGCATTCCCCTAGTGATAGAAACACGGTAGTGGCAACCCGGAGAGCACTCCTCAGCTTACTCCCCACGCTCCAGCCACACTCCAGTCTTCCTTCTGTCCCTTCAACTCAGCAAACATCTTCCCACACTTTGGTCTTTATCCTGTCCTCTCTCCCCAGAACACCTGTCCCTCAGATCCTACACATGGCCCGTTTCTTCTCATCACTCACGTCCCAGCTAAATGTCACTCTCTCAGGGACAGCTCCCCAGCCACTGGAACTGAGGTCAGGTGAATCCAAATCTCTGTCACAATACTCTGCACTGTTGTGTTTATACCGCACTTACTGCTCTCTGAAATTTCTTTGTTAAATGTTTATTGGGCTTTCTACACTGTTGTTAGGTAAGTTTTTAATGACTTTGATAGTCATGGACATTTTTTCATTGAAGTATAATTAACATATAGTGTTACATTAGTTTCTGTTGTACAGCATAATGGTTCCACCATCCTGTACACACTCAAGCTCATCACAGTAAGTGTGCTCTTCAACCACTTTCATCCACTTACCCATCCCCCACTCTCTCTAC